AATGGGGGGCAAGGGGGGCACACCTCTGGCCAGTGCGGGATGCCAGGAAGCCTCGGCCCCATCCTCTTCACCAGCCCTCTGCCTCATGCTCACAGGCAAGAGCACAAGGGATGGTTTTTCCTTGTATCCACTCACCGCCCCCACAGCCCAGGACAGGGAGGAGAGATTTCTTATATTCTCTTTTCAGAAGATGCCACCCACACCCCACTGTTGCTTCAGGGGTCAGCCTTCCCCACATCCCTACAGGTGGGAAGTCCTTCCAGGGGCTGAACCACACTGCCTGCCTGCTGTCCCTCATCTTCCTGTCCTGAGGGAAAAGGAAGGGCTCCTGCCCACCTCTCCTCTGCTCCCAGCTCCCAGCCCCGGCCAGCGGGGACAGGTGCACCTGTTGACCTTGGCTACTGCGGGGAATTCATTACACCCACCAGGAAGGAGCCCTCCGCACACCCTTCCAGTCTCCCTCCCCCTCTCCCTCCCTCTGTCTGCGGGAGGAGGGGGCTGGCCAGGCAGGAAGTGCACAGGCAGGAGTTGAGGGGGTGGTGGAAGGCAGCCTAAGGCTGAGTGAGGACCTGCCCCACACCCCAATCCGCCCCACCTTCTCTTCTAGGTCTATCGCCCACAGCTCCCCACTTCAGGCCCAGGCTCCAGGCAGGCCCTGAAGACCCCGCGATTTCACACCTCCTCCCCTTGGCCCACTGCTTCCCTCTTCCTGGAATGCTCTTCTAGGCCTTGCCAGCCAGTTGAATTCCTATTCATCCTTCAAATCCAGACAGACAGCCTCTCCTCTGTGACTCTCCCTGACCCTTTGAGGCAAGGGCCCCAGGAGGAGAGGGACCAAAGCTCACTCCTGTTTTGCCAAATGCCCACACTGTGTGTTGTGCTAGAACAGGGACTTGCCTTCTAATACAGAAAGGAGAGGCAGGAGAAGCACCCAGTGTGCAGACCTGGGCAAATGTTAGTGACTGGGAGAGGGGAGCGAGGGGTGCAGCCCAGAGAAGGAGGTGCCCTTTGGGGGGCGGGGCGGCTGCACTTGCAAAGGGAAGGTGGGCAGCTGAGTGTCGTACACTGGTGTCTACTTGTTATTTTAGGCCACCTCTTCTCTTCCACCCCCACAGGCACCCTTCCCAGCCTCTGGACGCCTTCATTGTTTTTTTTTTAATCCTCACCCGAGGATAATTTTTCACTGCTTTTTAGAGAGAGTAGAAGAGAGAGGGAAAGACAGAAGCTTTTTAGAGAGAGTAGAAGAGAGGGAAAGACAGAGAGAAATATCGATGTGAGAGAAACACATTGATTGGTTGCCTCCTGCATGAGCCCCGTGACCAGGGCCCAGGCTGGGGAGAATCCTGCAACCCAGGCACATGCCCTTGACTGGACTTGAACCTGGCACCCTTTGGTCCCCAGGCGGATGCTCTATTCACTGAGCCAAACCGGCTAGGCTGGGCGCCTTCTTTTTTACAAGACCAAATTAGGACCGAATTGGTCTCTAAGTAGGGGTTGGGGGAACACAAGACAACCCCCCCCCACACTAACAAAAGTTCAGTACTTCACCTCCCCCCCCCCAGTGTCAGCCCAGTTCCAGGGGTCACAGGGACAGCCAGACCGATGGGTGGGTGGGGGGACAGTACCTTTCAGCGATGGTGGTGTGTAGGCACAGGGGTTGGGTCTCTTCGATTTGAGGTGGTGGCCCTCTCCTGAGGCCCTCTGCCAGGGAAAGTGCCAGGTTAAACAGGCTCCCCCCTTCCTCCCCCTCCCCCCCATTCCATCCCACCCACAGCAGCCTGGGCAGCTGGTCTAGCCTCTGCTAATAGGTCTGGGTGCCCCTCAGGTCCTGCCCCAGGCTGAGGGCACCCCATGGCTTAGGAAGGGCCTCCTTAGAGCTGTGGCCTGGCTCAGGGCGGGGACCCTAGGTCTGGAGGCCGCACCCCAGGCTGAGCAAACACAAGGGCTGAGGAAGATCTGCTACGACACAGGGCACCGGGCATTCTCACCAGAGATGCTGATTGATATGCTGATTGATATGCTAATATGTCCTCCTGGGTGGTACCCTGCCTTAGTAGGGAAGCAATCCCAGCCAGCCCACCACATCCCTCCTTCCAGCTGCCCCGGAAACTCACCTGGTGTGGGGAGGCCTCCTCCTCTGAGGAAGGCCATCCATGAACGCAGGGAGGAGGAACAGAGAGGAAGGAGAGGGCAGAGAGAAAAAGAATCTGAATTACTTTCCCCAAAAGGTCAGTCTCGGGTACAGGAAAGTGTGCCCTCTCCTTCCTAGTGCTGGGAGGTGCCGGTCAATAAATGAACCTGGGTGAGCTGGGCTCCCAGACTTTACCACCCCCCACCCGCTCCGGCTCCATCTTCTGCCTCTGGGACTTTGGCAAGGGCCCCAAGAAGGCACCAGAGTTAGGGTGGGGCCGGGGCTGGGCCGGGGAGGAAAGGGGCCCACCTGGTGAGGAGTGCTCAGAGAGCCGGAACAGCATGGCGGGGGTTGGTCTCCGGCGCCGGATCTAAGGAGGTGAAGAAAGAGGTGGGGAGGAGGGAGGAGGAGGCTGACACCTGCAGGCTCCCCCCCAGTATTCCCCCCTCTCAGGCAGCAGGGAACAAACAGTGCTTTGGAGTCCCCTGGGAACCTTTGAATCAAAGCCTGTCAGAGCTGACAGGAACTCTATAGCTCACCCAACCCTCTCATTTTACTCAGGTGAAAACCCAAGGCTCAGAGAGGTTTAGCAAAGTGCTCAAGGCCACACAGCACACATCAAGGCAGAGGAAGAATGAGAGAAAAACCTGTCACTGACTCCCACCCATGCCCATCCCACTCCATGGCTACTCCGCAATGGGCTTCATTCACCTGGTTCTCTTTGTGAATTTCCCTGGAGCTCAGAGGGGACCTTTCTATCTTGCCCTATAAGGCCCTTCCTCTGCCGTTTATGAAGGCTTCGGACCTTGGGAACTGAAGCTGGCTGGGGAAGGTGCCCATGGACGGTGGCACCACGTGGCCCTGCCCACCTAAGGTCACCTCAAGGGCTCCAGAGAAACTGGATCCAGCTGCAGAGGGAGGCTGAGCCAGGGCACTGCAGGCACCTCCAACCTCACACAGGGGCTCAGGTGCGGCCCAAGCTGCAGACCCACAGGGGCCTGGGGGTATTTCTGGGGGCCTCGATCTGGGCCCCTCTAGCAGTCTCTCTGAGGCTGTGGAACTCCTAGTCCGTCCTCATAAAAGACAACAACAGCTCTAGCCTGTTTGGCTCAGTGGATAGAGCGTCGGCCTGCAGACTGAAGGGTCCCGGGTTCCATTCTGGTCAAGGCACATGCCCGGGGTTGTGGGCTCGATCCCCAGTGTGGGGCGTGCAGGAGGCAGCTGATCCATGGTTCTCTCTCATCATTGATGTTTCTCTCTCTCTCTCCCTCTCCCTTCCTCTCTGAAATCAATAAAATATATATTTTTTAAAAGTAAAAAAAAGAAATCCAGTGAGACTGTCGACATCATAAACAACAACAAAAACCCCACACACAAACAAAACAAAAAACAAAACGAAAAGTCACCCTCCTTAGTCCATGAGCCAAGCTGAAGGGTAAGGGCGTGGGGTGGAGGGGCCCCACCCAGCGTGGCAATCAGACCAACTGTCAGTTAATTAGGTCCCCTCTGAGCTCCAGGGAAATTCACCAAGAGAACCAGGTGAATGAAGCTGAAACTGCCACCTCCCCTGCCAGGCTCCCAGCACTGCCCTGCAGACCCACAGCTGCCTAGGCCTCGGGCCCAGGGCACGCCATGGTCCCCTATCTCCCCCCAACACGACTTGGCCCCACGCTCCCAGCTCAGTTAGGAGCCCAGTGCGACTCAGCAACAAGTGAATCAGTGAATCGGGCCAGGCTGCGGGGGGGGGGGGGGGTCCTCCTCTCCCTCCTCCCACCCCCTCCCCACCTTTCGAGGCCTCCCTGCCACCAGGGAGGCCCTCCCAGAGCCCTCAGCGGTCCGGGTGGACAGGTCTGGCTCCGGCGATGAGTGGTCACA